CAAACTTTATAAGTCATTAAATACTCTAACCAATCGTAGTAAAAGTATTTCATTGTAACATTAGAAGTTTGCCAAAAAATTTGTCTTTTAGAAGACTTTATCTGCTCTCTAGATGTAAAGCCTGATATTCTCACAGTATCTGAAACGAAACTAAATAGCAAAATTAATATTGACACTCCACGATATCAATTGTTCCATACTGATTCAGAGACTGCTGCTGGTGGCACAGGCCTCTAGGTATCTAATAACCTGCAGGCCTGATATAAAATTTAAAATGCTGCTTGTTGAGTCTTGCTGGTGTGAGATTATTAGTGGTAAAAACAAGCCTATATTATTGTTGGCTGTATTTATAAGCATCCAACTGCCAATTTATCAGACTTTACTCTAGAATTAGAAGGTATAATTAAGAACGCTAGTGAAAAATTATCAACACATTTACATAATAGGGGATATAAATATTGACCTTTTAAAGTGTAATGATCACCCTAAAACTGAGGAATACTTAGATATGCTGTATTCCAGTAAGTTAGTTCCTTTGATAACCAAGCCAACGAGAATAACTAAGAACACTCCCATTCATGACACTGTTTCAGGTATTGCTTTGGTTGATTTATCTGATCATTTGCCTGTTTCTCGCATTTGCAATGCATCAGTTTTTAAAATGAAACAGAAGATTTATTTTAGAGACTATAGTTCGTTTAATAAAGAGTTATATCTGGCTGAAATGCAGGCAATCGATTGGGAAACCATCTACAATGGCGCAAATGACCTCCACGATTTAACATCTGATTGCATACAACCATTAAAAAGGTTATTAATAAACACGCGCCACTAAAAAAGTGCTTTGTCTAAAACGAAACAACTTGCCAATCCTTGGATCTCTAAAGGCTTACCTACATCGATGAAAGCCAAACAAAAATTATATAAATCAAACTTTTTCAGTAATGGGCCGCTCATTATTTATTGTACAGGGGGATTGAGGAGAAACTTTAAATTTTTTAAAACCTGACAGGGGGGCTTTGAAAAAATACAGAGAGATGAAAGAGGGGGGAGCTTTGAAAAACAGAAGTTTTAAAAATGTATCACAAAACAAGAAATATAAACAATGTTGATAGACCTTTAATATTCATAAATGGAAGCCAAATAAACAGTCTCTTAATATGGTCATGAATAAACACAGGACAGGCATACTCTGTGATCGGGCATATACAAGTACTATAAAAGGTTATGAAGTCTTTCTCAGCAATTTTTGTCCATTTCAACTGAGGAAATATAATCTGGTGGCGGCCTTTCTTAACATCTCACTAATGTGACCATTCAGTTTAAGGTCATTCGAAATATTGAGCCCCAGCAAATTGGCACTTGTTATGACTTTAATTGGCTTATCATTCACAATGATAAGGTTTATATGTACATTGAATAATTGATTTAATAGACCACTTTGGCAGTTTTGTGTTAAGTGGAAACACATGCTCATGAAATCGGAAACTCGGACAAACATGGCGGAGCATAGATAGGTAGATATTTAAAAAGTCAATTACATTGCAGCTGTAAAGCTGAATTTTGTATTAACATTACATATGTGATAAAATTTAATACTAAAATTTAAAAATCTACATGCTCTTCACACAGCTTTGTTGTCAAACTTTCTCTACGATCATATAAGGATTGTAAACAACAGAGTTCCAGGACCTCAGTATAGTTTGAGTAAGGGAATATTATCTGCAAGGCATCCTTTTGTATCCTTTCCGAATCGTCTGATAAATATTTGGGCAAACAATTGTGAAATACAGGACAGGCAAATATAATAACACATATTTATGTATACTTCACTTACTTCGGAGAAAAAGAAATTGTACGCATTAAATGTTTTTTGTTTGGCTCAGAAGCAAAGGGACCAATCATGATTGGGTGATGGCAGGCCACTCAATCAACCACTTTCAAATTCTTGACCGTTGTTACTGTCAGATTAAAGTGACCTAGATTAAATGTAGGATCTATGCCTAAGACAGCAAAGCTCTGTGGGTCAGAACAAAACGTGGCAAGGCTCGTGATTTGCCAGTCATATCCAAGGACACATCACATTTCTGGAGCACCAGTCACTTCTCTAATAAATGCCTGTTTGTCATGTTGTAGTTGCTGCCATTTACATTGTGCTAATAAAATAATGAGACTATCACTACTTTCGTGACTATGGTCGTTGTTGCCTCGTGACGGAGGATGAGTTTCCCTACACCCCTTTTTGCTTTAAAATTTTGTGATATAGAGACATTGGAGTTTCTTTAGAAGACACTTCTAGCCTTGATCTCATACCGTCCTTTGTCCTGATGTATGGTGTTGACCTGGATTTCTTTGAATTCCCATGCACTGTAGGTTCCACAGCGTTTTGCTCACCGTCAAACAAATATTGAATGAATACAAGGTTTGGGTATTCTAAAGAAAGACAACAAATAACCTTTTTTTTTAATATTCAGTCTGTTAATTTGAAGTGATTCTCTAATAAAAACATTTCTTGTGTTGTTTTTTTTTACATAATTTTAAAGATTAAATAAGTTGAAACTATAGGTTGTATTTTGATGTGGTTTTCGAAGATTGTTCTGAAAGGGTTTATGACTTGCAATTTCACTTTTATGGATTTAGTGAGTTCCGCATCCAGTGAACAACATTCTCTGGTGCACCTCAGGCCTTTTGACCTTGTCCATAGACAGGTCTTTCTATTTGTGCATGTGGAGTAATAAAGGATGGACAGCCATTGTTGAAATGGGTCACAAACCACCATTATATACCAGGGTTGTTTCCTGTTTCTTTTCTTTACTTCTCTAAATTTTCTGCCTATACCCTGTTTAAACCATGGATTGTAAAATAACTGGATAGGAAACTTCCTGACGTCATTGACCCCATCCTTGTTGAAAAACGTGACGTCACACGTATTGCGAATATTATCAAAGTTCTCTGCATTTTTGTTGTTTTGCTATATTTTCCACTTTAAAAAGGCAATCTTGAAGCATAAACTGGTCTAATTGTATTAAAACATGCCTAAGCCATGACAAAGTATTGAAAGTAAATGTTTTTCGTCTTTGTTTTGTATTTTTTACATTTGTAGCTACGAAATTGGCGTCACAAATTTTAACGAAAGTTGCAATGTATTTTCTCACTATTTAGTGCTTGAAATATTTGCTATAAGTGACTGGGAATACTTAGAGTTTTCATCATAGATGCATGGTTATATTTATTTGCTCTTTGACTAAAATGTTTAGCTGTATTATTGCTAAACATGCCGTTTTTGAGAATTTGGTTTTCAACTAGGTTGAGGCATCCAACCATGCCATCTGCCCATTGAAAACATTGGTTACATCAGCTAGTTTCCTATCAATTTATTTTATTATCTATGTTTAAACACAGCACAAATGTGCCAGAACACATTGAGAACTTGGCCAATTTTTCCACAAGAGAGTCAGCAGCAATCGACCAACCAAAACACACCCTGTAGTGTGCTAACAAAACTAATGGAATCAGAAACCCAAAAAATTGTTTTACACAGTTTGCTTACTACCCGCCCCCCTTTTTCCCTCCTGTTGCTCCTCCGTCATTTACTGCTCCTAGGTGAACACTCCTCAGCTTCAGCTAAGCATTGACAAACCTGGACTTGGCTGTGTTGGCAATGAAATGAAATGAAATGGGTCTGCAATTATTCTTTCAAATAAAAAACAAAAGTTTCAACTCTGCCTTATATTGACATGCTATAAGCGAAAAATAAATTTTAAAAAACCACAAACAAACCATCTTGTTACTTCATGCCATGCAGTTTTATTCTTTAACCACCAATATTTCATGTTATTGCCGATCCAGTTGACTCTGTGCTGCTTCGGGGTGGTGGAAATGACAATCTTCACAAAGTGTAGATAAGTGCTGTCTCATGGACAACACTTCACCACATGAAGTGCAGTCACTGCTCATTCAGGTGGTTATCAGTTGTGGCCTGGAGTAATCTGCCCTATACCAATAGTTGTTGACCAGTCCAACTAGGACTCAATGCCGACGACCTGATGGATCTGAACTGGGGGTCCACCTGTTCCCCTGTTATCTAGAAGTCTGCAACCTACAGTTTTTGCATGCATCCTCAGTCAGCTTTGAATATCCGGGGTAATGTGCCCTATACCAATAGTTGTTCACCAGTCCAACTAGGTATCAACTTGCTGAACAACATGCACAGAGTCAAAGATGCCCTCTGCAGTCTAGAGATCGCCTGTTTCTTACTTAGGTTTATATCTCAAATAAATAAATAAATGGTAAATATATCTCAGTGTTTACTGCTGTTAAAAATATATTACACGCATGCTTGAAATAATCAACTATTTATATTCAATATGACGGGAGAAGTGCCCTTGGTATAGCTGATCTGATCAAGGTATCAGTATAAAATGTTGATGTGAACAATATTCTGACAGTAACGATATATTTGTTTGCAAAAACGTATGTTATGAAACGGCTGTTGTCTAGTTGAGGCTGAAAGTTACCCTAAGACATAATCCATGGACCCAGCTTTTATCATCCCTATATTCCGTTCCTACTCCTTAGAACTGTGAGTAAAACTGTAGATGATACCTACAATACAAAGCGTTACTGTATGGACCTCTATAGGGAGTCACTATATACGGCAGTTATGAAATGCAACCTGTCCGCAAAGACGAAGTGGTTACACAGAAAGTGCTTGACATCGTTTCCCAGGAAGTTAGCGATTTGTGTTTTAGAAAGAAACTCTCAACTGTGTTAAGAAATACTGGGGAGGATGATCTAATGAAATTCAGTTTGGAGCAGCTATGACAATGTGGCTCTGTGCTGCTCAAGCAACGAAATGGTGAAATGAGCGCGATCGCCTGGCTATGTGTTGGGTATCCTTCTCAACTAATCTCGCTCGACTGAGATCATATAATGTATTTAGGCTTGTACAAAAAATATGCTGTGAAGCAAAGGTGCTTGCGGGTTTTATGAGTTCTCAGACTTCTATGGTTTCAAAAGTGTTCGGGTTTTATGCGTTCAAATAAAACCCGACTCCCGAGCACTTTTGAAACCATGGAAGTCTGAGAACTCATAAAACCCACGAGTACTTTTGCTTTACAGCATTTTTTTGTACAAGCCTAAATGAAAACTAGAACTATATACAAGTAGTATTTAAGTGTATTATTGTAATAATATAATAAGGTACATTGACATTGCTATAGAGTATAGTTTTAACTAGCAAATGCATAAATATTTTTATATTTTTGATTTTGTGTTAATTTGAATGCATGCAGTAATTTGAAATTGACAACTTGTCATTCAAAATAGTTGTTTACAAATATATGTATATTATATATTTTTATTTAATTTTCCCCATGTATAAAAAAGCTACTTAAAATATATCTTTAAACGATTTTGGGCTAGATACCTACTATACTCTATAGACAGTGGTGTAGCTAGCCGTCCTGCTTGTCCTGCCCAGCAGGACTAAAAATTTCCCCAAATTTCCATACTAAAGCATTGCTTTATTTATCTTGAAGCTTTAAAAATTTATTATTATTTTGTCTCATTTGCTCGTCTTTTTTGTTATTATTTTTTCAAAAGTTTTTCTCATTCTGTTATATTTACGCAATTTTACAGCTTGCCGTGTCTGTTACCTCGCAACTGCAACTCTACATTGATTTACACACGTTCGTGTTTCAGTCTTGCCATTTTCAAATGGCAGGACTTGCTAGTATGTTTCATTAGGGGTGGGCGATATTTTGATTTATCGTGATATTTTCAATCACGATTATCGTATCGAAGGGAGAAACTTGAGCGACAATATATCGAAATTATCGTCATGCTCGATGACTATCGTGATATTGCTTCGCATGTGTATATAGCTGTTATAAAATCCTAAAAAATTCTTTCAATTCCTTGAAAATATAGTTTTTAAAAGAATTAAAACTATTTCTTGAATTAAATACAAATTTTATAACACGACAACTGTCAATAAGAATACGATAAGACGATACAAAAGCTAATAATTATGTATTAACCGCTGAACAGTGAAATTGCAGGCTTTGCTTTCCCTGTGTGCCCACGGCATTTGTGGCAGCGGAGGCACAGCAAACGTTTGTCAAACGTATAAAAACGTTTTGCATGAATGGACACCGAAGTAACAGAATCAAATCGACCAAATCTTATTAAAAAGAAAAATACAAAGAGCACTGCATGGAATTTTTTCGGAATCGAGGCAGACGAACATGGCGTATCAATACCATCACAAGAGCATCGGCTCATTTGCAGGATATGCTACAAGTCAGTGCCATGTAAAACTGGCAACACCACAAATTTGTTTAGTCATCTTCGTGAACGACACCCCGATGCATACAAAGAAGCAAATCAAGGAAATATGAACACAAAGAAAGCATCAAGGAGTCAAGGTATGCAGCCAACACTTGAGACTGTTGTTGAGCGCTCAACTCATTATGATCCCAAAGGTAGCCAAGCAAAAGAACTGAATCATGCAGTAGCTTATTTTTTAGCGAAAGACATGCAACCATTGCAGACAGTGGAAAAACCTGGGTTTAAAAAGATGATTGCCAAATTAAACCCTAGATACAAGCTCCCTTCGAGAAAGCACTTTTCACAACAAGAAATTCCACGTTTATATAATCAGGTAAAAGAAACAGTGGTTAATCCCAAGCTAAGCCAAATTGACTTTTTTTCTGCTACAACAGACTTATGGACCAGCAGGGCAACGCACCCTTACTTGAGTTATACAGTTCATTTCATTGATTCCGCATGGGGACTTCAGTCAATTTGCCTTGAGACCGTGCCCTTGTTTGAAGATCATACTGGAGAAAACATTATTGAGTCCATCAATGATATATTGAGCAATTGGAACCTTTCAACTGATAAGCTAGTCCTTACTGCAACGGACAATGGCAGTAATTTTATTGCTGGGTTTCACTCGCGTGGTTGGTTACGATTGAGCTGTTTTGGACATTGTTTAGACCTTGCTATTAACAAGTGCTTGGAAATGCAAAGAGTACAAAGGTCAGTGAGACGATGTAACGCTCTAGTAGCATCATTTAGTCGAAGCTGGAAGAAGCAGAGGAACCTCAAAGAGAAACAAAGTCAGCTGGGTCTTCCAGAACACAAGCTTGTTGGTGCAGTTACCACACGTTGGAACTCAACTTACGACATGGTGGAAAGAATATTGGAACAGCAGCAAGCGTTGTCAGCTGTCCTTCTCGAAGACAGAAAGTCGTGGTGCCTTATGCTAAATGATGCAGATGTTACAGTGCTAGAGACGTTTGCTGAACTTGTCAAACCTCTATCATATCTCACAGATGCTTTATCCGGAGAGAAAGAAGTAACCTGTTCTGCCATCCGACCACTTTTACAGCATGTGATGGAAATTTGCGAAGAGAACGATGAAGACAGTCCTCTTTTAGTCCAAATGAAGTCCGCTATTTCTGGTAACCTCTCTCCACGCTATGAATCAGCTGCAATATGTATAATTATTGATAAATGTAGCTTTCTTGATCCAAGATTCAAAGCGAACTATGTTGCTGACACAGATCTAGTCAAGTCTAACGTATTGACAGAAATGTTAAAGCAACATGACCAACATCGAGGTGAGTCAGATGATGCTGATGATCATCGTTTAACTATTAACCCACAACAAGACTCACAAGAGTCACTCGAACCACCACTACCCAAAAAGGCAAAAGGTCTTACAGCTATTTTAAATAAGCTTCCAAGGTCAAATGTTTCCAATCAGGGAACTGTTCCTCTAAGAGCAAGGGCGGAAAAAGAGATGGATAACTATTTGGCGCAACCGTGTATAGAGACAGATAGTAATCCACTTTTGTGGTGGAAAAACAATTGCGTATATTTTCCTCTTCTTGCTGTAATGGCCAAAAAGTATCTTTGCATTCCAGCAACAAGTGTACCGTCAGAACGTGTATTCAGCAAGGGAGGGATTATTGTAAATGCTTTTCGTAGTAGGTTGAAACCACAACATGTTAATAGTCTAGTTTTCCTTTCAAAAAACATGGAATAAAGTATACTAGTACTAGACTACTAGTAGAGACATTTGAACTGTAAGCAAATAAGACAATAGACACTGCATAGACAGATCGTTTATGAATAGTAAATATTAGGTAGTTTAAGATGTACCAAATCAGCGATGCTGATGTGACTAAAAAACAGTCGCTAATAACTGGAGACTAGTTTTACTTTGTTTTTCACGTGTCCCTGGCTTTGTTTACCAACAACAACCCACAGTTTTTACCCGTGAAGTACTGAAGTGAAACTGTGATAATGGCGGCAGTTTTTCGTCACATCCGCATTGTAGATTTGGTGTACCTTAAGCTCCCTATTAGACTAGAAAAACTTTCATATTAATTTAATTTGTTGTTTTACTTGTTTTTTATAAGATGACATATAAGATTACTATGCTTTGATATTAATTAAGATTGAAAAATGTGGTCATTGTTTTTACTGCATTTATCGCGATATTATCGAATATCGTGATAATTTCCTTGACGATAATCGTGAGATGATTTTTTTAATATCGCCCACCCCTATGTTTCATAGTAAATTCATACAAGAAATCTTGGTTTCTTCTGATTGGATAATTAGGTCTGCGCATGCTCAAACCAACTGTTTACAAATGCGAAGTCCTGCTCTCTTGAAATGGCAGGACTTGGCCTTGTATTGTCTTTACTTGCGAGCTTTCCGCGTGACTAAACCCACTTTTTACTAATTCTGTCGAGATTACTCAAGTTATGAATATGGAAATCAACGAGTGTGGAAGCCCAATCAGGGGCGGATCTAGCTTAAAATGTGACCGTATTATATTCCTAGGTCTCGCATAACTAGGGAGGTCCGGGGGCATGCCTCCCCCGGAAATTTTTTGAAATTTGAACCCCGGAAAAGCCATTTCCTGCGTTCTGAGCCCATGATTCTGGCCTAAAATTTGGCCTTAACAAGGTCATATTTTAAACACAAAGTAACAAAAAAACACACAATAACTCTTCTTGGTATCAGTGTTCAAGTTTCTGTTTCATGAAACGTGGCCGGGGGTGTTTTGACATAGAAAAGTCGGCTTTCGCGACTGAGTATATTTAATTTTCTCGGCCGGTCCCTATTTAAATTAATAACATATTGCACGCGCAATGCCGCAATATGACTTTACAGATTAATATCTTCGGTTAGGCGAATGCTATGAAAACAAAAATACTACCGTTTGGTTCATTGAAAGAATATCTCCTAATTTCCTAACGATAGTTTTAGTCAATATAGTGATTTATAAACTTTGAGAGGTCAAGCAATATCATATATTTCACTATATTACTCAATTTTCTCGAACAATTAAACTAGCCATACCTTTCGCCAAACATAACTTCGGCCCCTTCGGACATATCCTTTTTGTAATAGTCTTGTTCTAATTGGCATCCAATACACTATTTATAAAGTGTTATTTCAAGGACGTCTTCTGAAATTATGTAAGGCCATCACTCGCTCAGTTACGTTAGAAGAAATGCGGCTGTTAGCAATATGAGACAAAGTTTCCGAGCGGTTCACGATTATTTCATTTCTTGCGCAATCAAAATACAGCCACAGTATCAGAGGGTATCCGACGTCATAGATACACGTCCTGTGATTGGCTGGATACCCTCCAAGGTATCCGAATACCTCATTAAGTTACTATTTTTAGTAACATTTGAACCGCGGACCGTATCAGAACACCGCAGACGCATTTAAAAACATTTTCCCGATCGGGTTACGTAACCTCGGGTTATGCCTTCGGAAAGCTCTCAGCTCATCTTCGTCGAAAGTAATTCAATGCTTTAAAAACACGGCTAATGTTACATTTAGAGCTGTGAATTTTAAAATTTACGAAATAATTTGCCCTCGTTCATCTTAGTAAACTCAAATTTTCACTATTTTTGTAAACAGAAATGAATTGCGTGAAAAATATTAATATTGAATTTTTCCCGAAAACTATTTTAGTATGCATAATCGGAAAAATCTGACCGTATCTTGAGCTACGCTCGATACCCCCTGGATCCGCCCCTGCCAATGTGATTTTGATATAATTTCTGGCTTCTGCTAAGATATTTTAGCTCACAAAATGCATGTGAACAGACTCGACTGATGATTGTGTATTTTTATAATACAATATATTAAATGGGGAATACAAACTTCATTTGTGAAGCATGTCGTATTGATATAAAGTAAGAACGTAATATTTACTGCCAGTTCATCTGCTTTGTGCATTTGAAACGAGCACTTATATGGAGTTTAATTTTAAAAATGATATACTGTACCAATTCACACTGTTTATGTAGATATTTGGCCGCATAGACTATATTAAACGCTATATTTATATTAATACCATATGCATAGGGTACTGAATTACATTCAGACTGCCAGGTGTAGTGATGTGTCACATTACTAACAAACGTAGTGAATTTTTAACAAATGCTAGCCGTAGCGTTATAGTGTATAAAACGCCGTGTTCAACAGTATATTAATAGATATGCAATTGTTGATTATGTGAGGTTGGATTGTGTTGATCAAGTGAAAGATCGTATTACAGATGCGTATTGTATACATGATATTTTCCTCTTTCGTGACTTGACTATATTTAGCTACATTTTCAGTTAAGTTGAAAAATATATAGTGAAATATGATAAAAAATGCATGGATTTCAAAAAGTTATAAATTTTTTTTCGCATGTCTTATGGTATAAATTGTCAATTGTGTATAGCAAAGTGTTGTTTAATTTGCTTTTTGAAGATGTTATAGGAGTTTATTTCATTAAATTTTGTTTTTTAAAAATTCCATACATCAACTCCTTTATATTATGAGAGACTGTGTTTCACATAATTAATATCATTTGTCCCATGGCCAGAAATTCGAGACATTGAGCCAAAGTTGGTACAGCAGGAAACCGTGAAATTTTACGAAAATTATTGAAAATGGCTGCTAAACGTCCACGCACGCGATTAACCAACTATGTCAAGTTAAACAATTTTAGCTCAGTTGTATTGTATAACAACGCTCCACCAAGAAAACGGGGGAAGATATATGAAGTAGAAAGGATTATAAGCTGAAAGAAAGAGAAAAATGTAAGCTGAACGTGTTGATTTCAATTAATCAATCAATCATATATTATTTCCCATGTGTATGTACAATAATAAGTAACAAAAACTATGTGTAGTTTGAAGGTGTTGGGCTAGAGACCTACTGGAAACCTTTTCAGGCTTTTTAATGTAGGCCACTAGTTAGGTTTGTAAAAAAAAATTGCATATGTATTTACAGTGAAGAGTAATTATTGAAGTAAGTTCAAAGTATAAATATTAATTTAATTAATTTGTTGGTCTTGGAGTGCTTTTCAGAAAATGTGTTTCAACTTGGCATCTTTAAAACAGGGAACGGGGAATCCGGGAATACGATAAAAATTTTATTCAATTTACAATTTATGCAATAAAAGAAAATGAAGCTTAATCGAAAGTTTGACGTCACACCAAAATTGCAGGACACGAAGTTGTGAAAAAAACCCAGTTTAATACTTTTAAACGGGCATTTAATGTAAACTTCACCCAGGATATAAACTAAAGCGAATGTGTAATAGCCATGATTGCGCTAAATTAAAGAGTTTCGTTATGCATTGTCGCCATTTTTTGTTGGCACTTGCATGTAATATAATATTTCATTGCTTTGATTGTGATTGCGATTGTCAAATATAATAGCGGTAACACGTTTGCAAGTCACTTTTTCCTGCTGACATTCATGATGTAATATGATATTTCATTGCTTTGATTGTGATTGTCAAATATAATATCGGTAACACGTTTGCCAGTCGCTTTTTCCTGCTGACATTCATGATGTCTGGAGTGCATGGAAGCTTTAAAATGCCATCGCTAATAAAGCGAAGGCGAATAGATCATGGTCTGCCTCCAAGTGTAGTTTTACTAACCAAGACTGAAGACCAGAGATAAATTTGTACAACTGAAAGTCTGAAACTATACTTTAACAAAACTTTATTTGTAAATGTTGTGGAGTTTGTACTTTGCTCCTGCCTGATTATGTTTTTCATGACTTCGACCATTCGAGTTGTATGGGAAAATAGAGAGTTTAAGTTCGACTTTGAATACCGATACGAACAACAGGTCATGTTGATGCGCTGTGGTCGCAAAAAGCACGAGGGCAAGTGCAGGCACGTAGCGAAGCATCTGAAGTTGAGGGGTGTCGGAGGATTTTACCTGAAATTTGAACTTCAATGACAATGCTAAGAATTTACCTGAAATGCATTAATTATAATAGATAATTTTTTCCATTGATTTCCACTGTCATACTAAGTTTCCGAAGAAGGGGGTCTGTCTGGAGGGTCCTCCCCTGAAAATTGTTACATTTTTCAAGCTACAAGACTGTTTTTCTGGCGTTTTCTAAAACAAATTCGCAAACGAATTGGATCTAAATTCACACTGTCTTTTACAAAAATGGTTATCATTAATTTCACGAAAATAACGACTTTATTATGCAAATTTTACCTGAAATCTCAAACAAATTAGTCGCTGGGGCACTGTGCTCACAGCGACTCTAGGGGTTTCGGCACGGAATTTTTTCGCGGATCTCCAATCGCAGATCGCAAATCTCCGTTGTACACAAATTTCCATTATGACACGTCACGATTTTAAGGAAAATTGAGTATATTGAAGTGGAAACATGTGAGACAACGACATTGAATTATAGAACTATATTTAGTTCAATTTAGTTATGTTGGAAAATTGAAGAAAATTGAGTATATTTAAGTGGAAACATTTGCGACAAGGACTCAAGATTCTCTGCTCAAGGAGTGAAAGGACAAAATATCGTGAATGTTTTTGTATAGTTTTCAAGGATTCAAGATTAAAGCCTGATAGATGTTTCACAGGGTAAGTACATGTACTGAATGTATTTTATCTTCAGATACGCTCATCTCACATGAATGTACACATATTCGTGATAGACCTACACTAAAAGATGCTGAGCGATTTCGAACTGGGTCTA